CACAGGTTTCGAGTAGCCTATATTAGGCTACATAATTTTTCTGTTAATGACAATCCATGTCACCCGTCAGATTCACTTTAATTTATCGAACTAGCTTACTTTGACCACAATGAGCCAGGCTTTATAAACTATTGGCAGCACTTAATTTTTTTTGTCAGCTCTGTGATTGGTTGGCTTGATGTACCGATGATGCGCTGGGGCGGTGCTAAGAGCCGTGAGCCCAATTGAGTGAGTGTTTAAGAGTGTCGAGTACCGTGAAGGAGCTCCAGATGAAACACTGAGTTTACTCGGAATTAGTGAGTTTTAACTAATTGTAGCGTTCAGAAAAAATATATGTATACACACAAAGAAACTCAACGGAACATAAGGACCTACTGCCAGCAGTTTCAGAAGTGTTATTGCAGAGCAAAACAAACAGCATGTAGAAGTATAAATGCACGGCTACTGTATGCAAAAGGCAGGTGACCCATCCTTCTTGAATATTTTTTTTTTTTTATTCGACCACTCGACTCTTCGACCACTGGTTACACCACTAGTAGCTATAGATGCATTAAGCTTTTTACTGAAATTTTTGACCATTCACTGTGTATACAAGCAAAGCATAATGGGTCATTTTGTTTTCTATTTAAAAGGTCTATAGAATATTATAACCATATTTATTAAATGCATCACATTTATATACAGTAAGTGTATGTTTCCAGCTCAAATTAACTTTTAGTTTATTTGTTTATTGTTTTGGCTATATTGAAGACTGAAAATAGCTATTTTAAGTCTGATCAGCTTAGTTTTCTGGTCCTGCCCTTCAGTGACACAAAACTTTGATAAGAGTTGGGTGGTTGACTCTGTTTACAGTATTGCATAAGAATATTGAAACTATCGAAGTTCAAATCAGGGTTAGTAAGTGGACATGCAGGGAAGACTGTAAACCACAATTCAGTATCAAAAGGGAATCACTGTCCACACTTGAAACAGTGTGTTAAAAAAGTATTATTTTCTTAATGCAATATTTACAGTATCTACAAAACATCACAGATCACATTTCAGAGACCATATGCTGACTGACAAAAAAAAATGCTAGTTCTCATTTGTCACTTGAACCTGACAGCAAATAGTCTTCATTTTTAAAGTTTTGCATTAGACAGTCTGAGCATGTTTTTGCTGTAAGGTAAATAGTTCATGAACACCTTGGTGGGATCTTTTTACAAAGCTCTGCTGCAGGCAAATGCTTTACGTGAATCTTCAGGACCTTTAATAAAAAAAAAAACATTCATGTTGACAGAGATGAGTAAGTGTTTGTCCCATAGTTTTGCTGCTTACTTTAGATTTAATGATGTGCTGGTTAATATGTTCATTTCAATTGAGATAAATCTCGTCTTAGTTTTTTTGAATCAATGACTTATTCAATGAGATATTCTGACCCAACACAGCTGTTGTATGATATGAGATTTGAAACATAATTTGTGAATCACTTTCGCTAAACTTTATTTCTTGAGTCCTTCTTGGTGCTTGAAAATGTTCTATTCTTTGTTATGTCATTGCATGTTAATGAGCAACGAGCGCAGTCTTGGCTGACCACATAATTTATCCATTTATGTACCACAGAAGAAAACGTTGTGTGGGTTTGGAAGGGTGCATAAATTGAAAGAATAAAATGTGTTTGGGATCTAGTTCTGGAAAACCGCTGTTTTCATCCAAATGTTTTTAGCAGTTAATGGACATCAGATCTAGACTGTTTGCTGATTCAGATTTGTCATTGAGTCACTGGATTATTGTATTTCACCAAAACAAATAATTTGAATAAACCTACAGTAAATATTTCCAAAATGCTTGTTATCAGCTTGTTTAACAAAACTCTTTAGACAGTTTTGTTGCAGGGACAGTAGAGAATGCACATTGAAATTTAAGACTGGGAATGCAAAATTAAATTAAGATGTATTGTATTCCTAGACCAGAACTCTGGGGTTCTGTATACAGTACATGACACTGCATCTAATTAAAATCTGAGAACTTCTAAAGAGTTTTGCCTTTCGTTTACACAATCATGACATTTTGCTGGCCTGAAAATGCAAACTTTAAGGATGTAAAAGTTTTTGAAAACAATATGTTGTCATATCTGTGTAAATGAGAAAATTAGATTTTTTTGTGTGAAAATGGTGTGTGTGTGTGTGTGTGTGTGTCTGTGTGTGTGTGGGTGCATTACATGTTTAGTATATGCCTCTGCTGACAACCAAAGCAAAAGTGGTCTACAGGATCTCATGTACTTGGTTGTAGTAATTTTTTAGAGCGGATGTGCCCAAAGTAGGGCCCTCGGGCCAATGTTGGCTTGTGGTAACCTTTGGTTTGGTATGCCATCCCATCTGCAAAGAGAGAGAATGATGGGGAGTTAGGTGGAGCGAATGCCTTTGACATAGATCGTCATTTCGAATTCAATGTATACCCTTTTGTTTTTTTGTTTAATTAAGGAGCTACAAAAAATTAAACAAATTAAATGTTTCATATGAATCAGACTTTTAAAATGTAAATACCGTCATTAGACAGAGAGTACAATGCTCAAGACATCGGTGAGCAACTCTAGTCAAAGGCAGGAGCTGCTCGACTAGTGTATTCAGTATTGAGCTTCATTGTGTTATAAATGGGATCGTTTATGTTTTTACTATAATAAGTTGATTTATAAAACGTTCAAAACTGTACTGCATCATCATTTAATATGATTTAAAGCACCTTTTCTAGTTATTTTTAAATAATAAGCTCACAAATGAGCAAATTTTATGTAATACAGTTTGGTATATTTAATTTATTCGGCCCACAGCCCTCAATAAAGTTTGTTTTTTTCCCTTTATAAGAAAAAGTTTAGGCACCCCTGATTTAGTGACATCACATTACTGACCTAGCAATAGCATGCATAAAAGCGTTCACTGTAGTTTATTATTAAGCTTTGTTTATAGTCCATATATCTTTATGTTGACCTCATAGTCTTTCTGAAAAGCAACACAGATTCTCTAACTATGTAATCCTAAGTAGACTTGTTTGCATTTCTGCTTGGTTGTTTTAGGGAGCAGTAAGCTAGGTAAACAGTAGGGTCCTCCTGCACACTTGTTGGTAGAGCTGGGCGATATGGCTTTTTTTTTCCCCCATTTCATAATAATTCTGTTAAAACCTTTACAACCTTATCATAGTTTTAACTAATTGTAATATATGAAAATTATATAGAAAAAAGCTGCTGTTCATTAATTTTCCTTTGGCTTAGCCCCTTTATTCATCAGGGGTCACCACAGCGAAATAACCGCCAACTTATCCAGCATATGTTTTACACAACAGATGCCCTTCCAGCAGCAACCCAATACTGGGAAACATCTATACCTTCTCATTCACACACACACACACACACACACACACACACACTCATATGGCCAATGCAGTTAATTAAATTCACCTGTACCGCATTTTTAAAAATAAATTGGTATTACACTTCGTACTTTTCAGATTGTTCATAGTATATGTACTTAATCTGGCACTTTTACTATAAACTGCCATATCAACCATTTGGTAGAGGTTGATATTTTAGACATTATGGAATGTGATGGAAAAAAAAATGCATTAATTAGTGACATTAGGAGTTTTATTTCTTGATAGGGTAGTTAAAGGGTTAAAAAGGAGACCTTTTTCAAGATGAATTATTTTTATTTTATTTATTTTGTGAACTTTTTCAAGAAAAAATATTTTTATTTTGTTATATCGTTGATTCATTCATTCATTTTCTTTTTGGCTTAGTCCCTTTTATTAATCTGGGGTCGCCACAGCGGAATAAACCACCAACTTATCCTGCACGCTTTTACGCAGCGGATATAAAATGATAAAAAATATAAAATTGAAAAAATTTATAAAATGACTCTTATTTGGCTAGTGGGTTGCATTTTATTGCTTTTATTTGCGTCAGGTTGCGGCATTTTTTAAGATTAGTCTAGTGCACTGAGCGAGTTTTGTCAGTGTTGATATTTGCAGTAATGAACGTCTTTACGGCTGGGTCACGTCATTTATCTCGAAACAACAACAGCAGATTCCTATGTTAGATCGGTAACAATTACTTTCATGTGGGTGTTTTTATTAATCGTGTTCTCCATTAATTTTTAGCATGGGACATACATGTTGTGGCACGAAGTTTCAAATGTGTGTGGTGAATGTGTAATCGAGAGCCCTGAATTATGTAATTTTTTTTGGCATATTCTAGCCCTACCTGTTGGTCTTCCTTTTCTTTCAGTAGCTTCTATTTTTGGTGCTTTTCATCCTCACATGTGTTAGCAATAACTACTTGCACCACCATCTAACCTGGTCTTTATGGGGTTAGGTGCATTTTTACTGTGTAGTCATTAAACCCACATATCCTCAAAGAGCTTAATGAAGAACGGTGCATAAGTGAATGATCAACACTGTTATGATTTACTCTAGAGATAGCAGAATTTTTTTTAAAATGTCAGATTCCTTCTTTTCTTCCTTTTTTCCCCCCCTTTTTATTGCTTTATTTCCTTCCTTCCTGTGAGGCTACTTTGCAGGCTTGCTCAACTATTTAATCAAAACAAAAATTCCTCTCCTCAAAAAATAAAAATAAAGTCAATTTTTGTCCGTTTTTTTTTTTTTTTTAAACTTTAAGTAATAAATGTTTATGGAAATGTAAATCTATACTACTCTGAAGTGGTTTTTCTCATTCCTTATGTTTGCTACAGCTTGTCAGACTTGTGAAATTCGTCTGTGTCTGTTGGTGGATTTGAGATGCAGTCAAGTGGAATAGGATGAAAGGTGTTCTGAAAAACAGGTGAAGGTAGTTTAGCTTTCAACAGCAGCCAGTAGCTTAGAGATGTGGAAACTATGAGATGCATCTGTGGCATTTCAGCTTGATGTAAAATCAAAATTGACAAAGTCTTTCTCCTTCTGTCAGTGTTCCACTTTTACGCTCTCCTCTTTTAACACTGTTTTTTTTCTCTCTCTCACACAGCTCTCATTAGAGCATTGTACAGCAGCTCGTGATCACATGATGCCGTTTACAGTGAACCTGATTGGCCCATCCCCGTGGGGATTCAGAATATCTGGAGGGCGAGACTTTAAGAAGGCCATAACCGTTTCCAAGGTAAATTTTAATTTCTGTTAACCAAAGTACTTGTAAGATATGATGAGTCATTGCTCAACATTATACCTTAATGTCTAACAACTTCATTTAAAAGAGGTAGATATCAGTGATCAAAAGTATGATGTCTTATTGGTTTTTGATGATGTCTTATTTACTTGTCTTATTTACTTGGTCTTATTCGGAGAGTCATAATCAGGGCTAAAATCATGCAGTCTGAACTTGAAATTAGTTTTATTCTCTATTCTATTTAAAGGTGACATTGACTAAGTTACTGTTGTGTCTTCCAACTTCCAAGTTGAAAAGAAACCATGCAACTTTATTTTTTATTTATTTATTTATTATATTTATGTGCCATAATTGTTTGAATTTCATGCTGGTTTAGGCCTAACCAGCTAGTTTTTGTTTTGTACGGTATGTGCCCGCAAACTACAAACTCCTCTTAGTAAGGTTTTTTTCAAATCTCTCCTCTTGTAAACAGATAGCAAAGCTGCTAATGATGGTCCTTCTCATTTTTTTGTTTGAACAATGAAGCAATCATACATGCAGTCTGCTCTGTGTTCAGATGTAACTTTATAGGCTCACAGATGTCCTTACACAGAATCCCAGTTTCAAAAGAGTCAACAGAGAAAATGGCCTATAGCGCGATCTTAACTTTTGTCGTCACAATGGGTAGACAGCTTAAAATACTCATTGTCAGTCATACAGACAAAAGTGAGCTAAAGATCAAGGCTTGGTTGAGCGCTGTGGGCAATGTGCAGATTTAACTCCTCAAGAATGGATTGTCATTCCTGATCCAGCTAATTTAAAGAGATATGATGTGAAATGACTTGCTGTGCACTGAGGTGTTTTTGACAGGGTAAAAGGGTGTTTATTTACGTTACTTCAACTTTAACATTAACAAAGTAGCTTTTTGGGTCTTATCATAAATCAGTAGGAAAAATAATAATTGCAATAAGGCGCAAGACGTGTTTGGCGCGATTTATTGTTTTTTTCAGACCAGCACACCCCTAATTTAAATTTTCGCCACGTTGTTTAAATTGCAAACTTATTTGCTAAACCTCATGAGTGTTCCGGTCTAAAAAGGTGTGTTAAGACGCATTGTTGGCACGTTGCTCTTTTGAGGAACTGAAATTGACTGCGACTCTCACCAACTGAAAGCTGGTTTAATGTCCAGCACAGAGCGCATCAGTTATGTGCCTATGCAGGTCCAAAACGTGTACACATTGCTTAATACACACTGGATATACAGCAATACACAATTATTTTTAGATAGGAAAAATAAATAAAGGATTAAAATGTTACAAAAAACATTATTTTCCACATAAATATAAAAACCATTACCTCCATGCCTTCATGTTGGGTTATTTTCAGTTTCTTCATGATACAATTTACATTTGTATAATGTTATTATCATTAGCAGTATTATTTATTATAAGCATATTTATACTTGTTTTAATAAAATCAAGTTGACATTTATCCGTCTGTCGGGTTTCCGAGATGTATGCATCACCATATGGGACACAAGAATAGGACAGGTGTTTTGACCACACTTTGTTATTGTTGTTCATTTATTTGTTTGCTGGACATTAGAACTGAATTTAGAAATAGTTTTGAAACAAATCTTTATGCTTAACAAACAAAATTAAATATGTAGGCTTATGGATGTCTTCAGTGGAGTTTCTACAACACCGTTTCCTTATACACGAGTAAAAAGTAAAAATAAAAAAAATAAAAAAATAAAGAAAAAGTAAAAAGGCCGAATAGAGGAGGCTTGTTCCTTATCCTTGTGCTGCAGATAGTTTGTTTAACAGTTTTCTTGCTAGCAAACCATTCAGTTTTTCCAATTACAAAGTCCACCATTTAAATAGCAAATGCCCCATGGCGGGCAACTAACTCTTAAAGGGAATAGGAGATGAGACTGATTGGTTTAATGCACGTTATGCTCAAAACATATTCATAGCTCATTTAGAGAATAAGCACAACCCTGTTAGACCATGGTGCAAAGCGTATTTTTCCATCCTTAAAATAACAAAAGTGAATTCGGAATCACCCTTAATACTAATAAAATATAAAATATAGAATAATATTATAAAATATAAAATGGAGCCCATAGACTTTTCATTAAGACCCCAAAGAATCATGTCAACTTTTGAAATATGGGCATGCAATGTCCCCTTTAAAGATTAACTGAAACAAACAAGAAAGGTTTAACGAGAACGTAATTAATTGCATTTACACTTATTTGTATGTTGGTTAAATGTTATTTAACATTGATCTGGGTCTCTTGGACTTTTGAGCACAAGATTTCAATGCTGTCTTTCTGCTGGGAAGTTCTGAATCTGCTGTACTTCTGCCACCTAGTCTGGAACCCATTTATTTTTTTTAAATATATTTTTATTTTTATTTATTTATTTTTTGTGGGCTTTGAGACCGTTTTAAATGGAAACAAACCAATTCCTCTCAGCTAATTCTGCATTGCCTTCCAGAAAAACACCACAGGATTTCTAATTAAAGTAAGCTAATGGCACATTTCCTTCAGATCCGGGTCACAGCTGCAACCATGAATTATCTTGGATTTAAATCTAAATCACTGAGACTTTCAGTTTTTGTGGATTTTATTTTCTTATTTTTTAAATATTTTTTTATTTGTTTTATTACCATAATGATTTTATTATGAACAAAAAATGAGATTATAGTCGTAGTTTTAAATACCCAATACTTAAATTTTTTTTTTAAACACAATAAAATGTATGTCTAATATATTGGAATGATATCCAGAATATGTCTGTCTCCCTGTTAAACGAGTTAAAGTTATTTAAACGTTAATGCTTCAAATTTAAAGATAAATTTGACACTGTAAAATGTACAAGTTAAAACTAAATACAAGCGATTTATGTTTTTTTTTTGTTTTGTTTTTTGGTATTTAGAGTGGTTTGTAGTAACACACAATAAAACAGCATGATGTTTTTAAGGGGGCTCCAAAGGGTGTCATGGAGGTAAAGGTCTGGGTGTAGTAGCAGGAAATGTGCTCAGGCACAGATTTAGTGCTTTTTTACTTTTTGCATTGCTTTTGTCTGAACTCCCCCTTATACTAATTCTTCCTGTTTTTCATGTACGTCTTTTACACAGTGGCAAAGTATTTTAGGAGACGGATAAATTTATTAGGGGTGAGAGAAAAAAAATCACACTATTGAGATTATTTTAAATACCATTTTATAATTGATTGGTGTAATCCAAAATGGATTTACAACCACAAATCAGGAAATGCTGGGACTGAATGGAAAAGCAAATAAAGTAGTGATTTCCAAATTTAACTTTACTTTCATTGCAGGCAATACAACCAACATTATTTAATGTGTTCCTCTCAATTTTTATTGTTTTGTTTATTCATTTATTTATTTGTTTAATAAACACGTATTTCAATTTTAGTTCTTGCAATACATTAAAAAAAAAGTTGGAACAGTAAGTATTTACCACTTTGTAGTGTTATGATGTAGTGTTTGTCATTTTCTTTTATTTATTTGCGTTTACCAAACTGTCCCAACTTTTTCTAATTTGGGGTAATATATTTAATAATTGTATTTTTTTCACAAATGTGGAGCGTAGATGTTGTCACTTTTAATTTACCACAAGATGTGTTTGTTTACAATGTTATTGTTAGATGATATTATATCTATTCAAAGGAAGCAACATCATGGTGGAGGAAGAGTGAGCAAGCATTTTTAATTCATTTATATGGAAGTTGAGCATAATGCACTGCTTGATTGTTGATGATAATATTCTGTATTCCACTGCCACGTTCTGCTCACAGCATGCCAGTGAAAAAGTACTTTGAGAAGTGCAGCACAATGCGCTGTAATGGTGAATGCATCTGAGCAGACGTTTACCAGTCTTTGACTCGCATCACGTGTTGTTATCGCAACATGTATTCAACCTTAAGTTGTTTGAACTAGGCTCTGCGTTATCAATCGCTGAACTTCCAATAGATACAGCAGATGAATTTACTGTACATGATGCAACAGATGCATAGTCTGATTCTTCTAATTCTGTTGTTGAAGAGATTTTAACAGTTGTCTTTGATAATTATACAGACTTAAATGACTTTATAGGACGTTGTTTTTGTGTCATTATTAATTGTTGCATATTTGACTTTTCATGTGCAAGTTCAGAAATTGTTTTTAACATTAAGATTTAATTATACAATGTTTACAATATAAGAAGTATATATGTGCATTGTCATGTAATAAAAACTTCATAAAGATGTTAATCTTAATGTTTTTTGTTAATAACTCATTATACAGTCACTTTAAGGGTATGATGTATTTTTCATTGTTTTAATCTTAATGTGCAAACCAAAATCACAACATATCAAATCATAGTAGTTGTATAATCAAAACACTTAATTATCACAAAATATATTAAATTGTCACAGAAGGAAAGGTAGTGGAGTATTGGATATGTAAATTAGTGCATGTCCTAGCCCTATAATACATTTTTTGAAAGTTCGTTAGAAGTACTTGTGTTATCTGCTGTCATGCACAGAGGTAAAAAACAGAAATTCACACTCGTGCATGATTGAGGCATACTCAGATTACACAAGGCACTCTTCATTTTGCATCTCTGTAGCAACAGTTAATTGGCACTCGAGCAGGTCCTCAGACATGCCACTTCTGCCAGCATCAACAACAGCAATAACTGGCTGGCAGTCTATAAGGCCTCTCTGTGCTGTGCTCTGTTACTGTGTTTTGAATCAAACCGTTGCTTTCCTTTTCTTTTACTAATGAGGTGGTGGCCTTATTGACTGTTAAGTCTTGAGGGGATTCTAAACTTGGTTGAGCTAAAAGCATGCCTTGTTTAGTTGTTTTTAGGAATCCTGCCAACTATAACAACATTAAAAGAAAGTCATTGGTAGGTTGATGGTATGGAGTAAACAATGTTTGGTGTGATCAAAACATTGATTTATTTGACCAATCTGACATAAGATTGAAAGCTCAAGTATTTTTTTCCATCCAACACAAGAGACTGTTCAGAAAATCTATATTTAGAAATTAATAGATTTGATATATATATATATATTCTGATCCACACATAATAAATATAAATAAAATAAATTTGATATATATATATATATATATCAAATTTATTTTATTTATATTTATTATGTGTGGATCAGAATAGGAGACAACAAATACAATTGACAGATTTGGTATTATATGTTGTCATTTCTCAGTTTATTTTTCATGTATACCATTTGTGCCTTTTCTTGTGTTGTTTTACATTGAAAAATACACATTTAAATATCTTAAGTTTGCCATTTTTGACCTAAGCAATTGGAGAAACAGTAAGTCTTTACATCTTAACCTTATAAAGTCATTAAAGACTCTGATTACATTAAATACAACTCTGTTAAACTATTTTCAACAATAGCATTAGAAAAATCTAATATATAAAGTATATTTATCACATATGATGTTTTTTATGTTTAATTTGCTTTGTAGGCCTACTGAATTGCTCTGCTTTAATAAATTGCATACAATTTAAGAGATTTCATGATAAAGGTAAGCATTTAAATGCCATCAAACCTAAATACCAGTCATTAGGAGTTTTGGAGCAATAAACTATATCTGTTTGCATTCCGGTATTCTGTACTAGTATTGTATACCATTATAGAAAATAATTCTCTTAAATGTATTCACAAAATTTCAGTAAAAATATGCTTTATATTCCGTGTTGTCCCTATTAAAATCTGGTATATCTAGAAACCTACATTATTAACAAATCAGAGCATGTAAAGTGCATCCGGAAAGTGCATCACTTTTTCCACATTTATTATGTTACAGCCTTATTCCGAAATGAATTAAAATAACTTATTTCCTCAAAATTATACACGCAATGCCCTATAATGACAATGTAAAAATTATATCTTTTTTAATTTTTGCCAAATTAAATAAATAAATAAATAAATAAACTGAAAATCACATTTACACACTAAGTATTCACACCCTTTGTTCAATACTTTGTTGATGCACCTTTGGCAGCAATTACAGCCTCAAGTCTTTTTGAACATGATGCCACAACCTCATCATATCTGTCTTTGGGAATTTTTGCCCATTCCTCTTTGCAGTACCTCTTAAGCTCTATCAGGTTGGATGGGAAGCGATTATGTACAGCCATGTTCAGATCTCTCCGAACTCGAGGACATTGACAGAGATGTTGTGAAGTCATTCCATTGCTATTTTGCTGGCGTGCTTATGGTCATTGTCCTGCTGGAAGATGAACAGTCACCCCAGTCTGAGGTCTAAAGCATTCTGAAGCAGATTTTCATTTAGGATGTCTCTGTACATTGCTGCATTCTTCTTTCCCTCTATCCTGACTAGGGTAGGGTTTTATCCAAACCTAACACCTGGCATTCAAATAAAAGAGTTCAATTTTAGTCTCATCAGACCAGAGAATTTTGTTTCCTATGGTCTGAGAGTCCTTCAGATGCCTGATGGCAAATTTCAGGTAGGGAGTGGCTTCCGTCTGGCCACTCTACCTTACAGGACTGTGGTGGATTGCTGCACAGATGGTTTTCCTTCTGTAAGGTTCTCCTTTCTCCACAGAAGGACGCTGGAGCTCAGACAGAGTGACCATCGAGTTATTGATCACCTCCCTGGATCTCCATGAATCTATCAGGCATCAGGCACATGCCTGATGCACTGTATATGCATCTGTTGAATATGAATTAGCTAATGACCACAACACTCGCTTAAAAAAGGCTCCCTAACGTGAGATTCATTTAATATTATTTTTTTGATTCTTACTTAATAAGACTAAACACTAGATGAGAAAAGGCTAAAATAGCAACAGGAAGCACTAAGAAAACAATATTTTTCTTTTCATATTTTGTTAAAACGAATATTTCTTGTAAAAAATTTAATTTGGTATAATTTGTATCTTAATTTAAATGTCTTTTTTTGTTGCTCAGTTATCTACAAAATAAACAAAAAGAACACGCAACTTTTAAGGAGAAGTGACATTCTTCTATTTTCCCACGCAAAAACTTTGTTTCTATAGATTTATTCCACTTGAGCCATGGCTGCAGCTGCAGGTCAGTGAGATTATTCGAGCACAGACGGGGCAGAGTTGAAAACCGATACCGTCATAGTTTTCTGCATTCATGCCAGATCATATGGTGTTCAATAATTAATTAATTAATTAATAAATAAATAAATAAATTAATTTATTTATTTATTGCAATAACAACAAAAAAGTGACAGTTTGTATTAATAAAATTAAGAACAAAAAACAAATAACGGGTTAACACGTAACAGGTTTTCAATAGTAAGGGAATTATAAATAAAAATTTAAGTATTATAATTATTATAGTATTTCTCACAATTAACTTTATTTTGTAGATTTCAGTTATGAATTAACACAGTATCGTGATACTACTTGGTATAATAATACTTCAGCTGGTAAAGTATTGTGGCCTAAATCTATGGTATCGTGACAACCCTACAATGCACAGCCTAGTTTCAAACAGACTTTTTTTAGCACTGTGTCTAAAAACAGGATTCTTATTTTTTGCCAAGCTCTGCAGATGTATTTTTTCTGATTTTCATCTGGTTGGTGCAACATACAGTATTCTCATGGAATATATACATTAGTCAACCTTTGAAGTGGATCAAAACCTTTTATCAAAGTAGTCCGAAAACTATTTAACAACAAACATTTTTGTGTTAAAACAATTTTGATCCACTTCAAATATTGACTACATAGATATATAATGTATATAAAACATACATGCATCTGACTTGTATTCTTTATTTTGAACAGCTAATGAATGAAGCTCCAGTGTTCTAATTGGTTGAATGTTTTTGTCTCCAGGTTAATGCTGGCAGTAAGGCAGAAACGGCATGTCTTCAGCCTGGTGACATCATCATGGAGATTAATGGACTTAGTGCTGGTGAGATGCTGAATGTAGAGGCACAAAACAAAATCAAGTGCTGCACGACACAACTGCAACTTCTTGTAGAAAGGTAAGATTCTGTACAAATTTTAAATCGTTATATTGCATGTAATTACAGAATTTAAAAATTCTTTCTCAGATGAATTATAAGTGATTGGTATATGTGTGCATTAGTATGTACTTGGTAGTCACTCACTGAAGTCACTTGTCCACTTGGCAGCGATTTTTGCAAATCCTTCACGCAGCTATTTTGGACATGCAAAAGCAACTACTGTCTACTTGAATGGGGTAATATTGAGATTTCAGAAAAAAATGTCATGATGTTTGAGTATTGTTTTTAGTTTAAATTTGTATTTTATATGGCCTTTAACATCTGGCATAGGGACTACCAATTAAAACTAATCTATGGGCTAATTTGGGTACATTTACGTTCTTGGTGAACGTCGATTAACCCTCACTTGTTGTAAAAAATTAATAAACAATTAAATCAGATATCTGTAAGAAACAGTTTCTTATACTTAAAAACATATTTTACTTTGATTTAGCTAATGTGGATCAAAGAGCTTAGAATAACAAAGAGGCTACACTCAATAGAACGTTTCATTGCAACAGCAGCGCCTGGCAACAGCCCCGTGATTCCGCCATTTTGGAGTGAAAGCGATCGGCCGGCCGTTGGATCATATTGCTGTCGCAATGACAAGCAGCTGCTTTGTTTTTTTTATTCACATATTTATTTAAAAAGCGCATTAAAGCTGAGATACAACCTGAAAAACGACAATACAACACTTACCATGACAATTATCAGCATTTTTAAATAGTTTATTTTACAGACTTATAATATGCTGTTGTTCTATTGGAATTTTCAATCCAAAATGGCCACCATGTGACACTATCGGCATCTAGTGGCTGTTTCCCAAATTGCACTAGAGTGTGGCCTCTTGGTGATTCTATGCTCTTTGTTTTTATTAACTAGATAACTAGATAACTTAAACAGTCTTAGTGTGTATATATACAACTACAAATTAGTTTCATACTACTGAGCTGCACCCACAGTAGCTATTTTTGAACAAATTGTCTTGTACAAATGAAACTTGGGCCCGATCCCAATTCCATTTATGCCCCATACGCCTTCGCCTTTTCCTTTCCCTTTCCCTTTGATCCTTGAAACTGAATGAGAACCCCAATACTACACCCACACACATTATTTCATGTCATCGTTAACTCATACATTACGTCATGCAAGATGCACAGTCGTTTTTTGTGGCTTAATAACGTTTTACAGAATACCCACTCCCACTTTCATTTGCACTGTATTTGGACTTGGCTAAGTAATGTACAAGAATGTACTGTCAGAAGACTAGAGTTAATGGGTCAATGGTCACGGACTGCCCATGATGCTATATGACTGGCAGGATAAGGGGTGTGGAAAGTCCCCGCAATTGCTGCCCCTCATGCAACCAGTGCATCATTCATTCATTCATAAACTTTTTCATGTTAAAGATACTAAATTTTACAAAATTCTAAGGGAATCAGTTAGAAATGCATGTAGCATTTTTTCCCTGTATTTTAATTCTTATTTTGTTTGTGCGTTTCTACATAAAGATCATGCAGACTGCCAGAAACGGCAAGCCAGTAGTTTTCTTTGTTCTAATATTATTCAGTATCCACAAATAATAATAATAAAACGTCCTACAAAATTACACTGGTTTCACATTCATGGCCCAATATCAATTCTACATCTTTGCCCTTTCACTACCCCCTATCACATTAACGTGTAAGGGTAGGTGTAATTTCAGCCTCGATATACTTCAAACTAAGGCCCTGTTTGCACCAATACGTTTTAGTTTTAAAACAACATTTTAGAATGAAAACTATCCATGTCCACACTGGCGTTTCATCTAGCATTTCTAGAAAGCGCACATCACATGACCACACACACACTCTGGCATGCGCTGCAGCATATGCACACGTCTGAGCTCCTTGCAGTCCAGGCGGGTGCTTTAAACACAGCTCACCAGATGAGAGCAGCGCATGACGAACAGTTCATCAAGGATCTTCTGCTGGATGTCATCTCACTAAGAGATAAGTTAGTATACTAATTTATGCAACAATGTACATCGACTCTGCTCTGCTCTGCTCTGTTTTTTTTTTTTTAATAAATATGCATACAGTGAAGATGACGGCCCTATAAATATGAAGAGTTCAGATGGAAAACCCTCTAAATCCATTAGACCTCCTGTAAATGAGCATTTCAATTACTCTGATTAGGTTCAGAAGTTTCATTTGATATGTAATAAGGTTTTTAGCTAGTAAATAAAAAAAATGTCACTTTAGACAATTCTTTGGTTTTTAGCAAGATACATTTTCAATGCGTCAAAACTAGCTAAATCCATGTCTGCTTTTTATGCAAAACCCTCTAAATCTACCTATTGGAACAAGACTGTGTAATTAGTTGAAAATCACTAAAGATGCAATTAGAGATTATTTTACCAAACATAAAACACATACACAAACCACCTGAAATTAAAAATAGATCTGTCAAGTATGTGGCATTTGTACTGTGGTAACCCCTGATAAACCAGGGACTAAGCAGAAGGAAAATAAATGAATGAAATCTGTTAAGTGCATTAATCAATAACATTAAAATTGACGTTAATTAAATCTCGACAATCTATTGGTATTTCTGATATTTGGGATTTGGATTTAATGCAAGTAGAGCAATGTAAACAAGCTTGTTAGATTCAAATAATGTAAAGTAAAAACATTGTAAAACATCAATATTTGCATTTTCTATTACTAACAAAGAATAAAATAATTTATTGAAGTAATATAAATATTGTATAGTGTTATACATTATATTTATCTATAAAACATAGCTTGCATTAGCAAATAAAACACAAGGTAGGCCTACTGTGCAAAAAAAGAGGATGTCTCAGAAGCCATAAAGTCATTTATTCATCCTCACTATACTCAAGATCTTGGTCAGTTTTTTATCTCTTGTTTATCCTCATATCATCCATGCGGGATAAAAGAACAGCATCTTAACTTCATCTTTCGTGAAATAGGGCTGCTGTTTAATGTAGCTAATGTTAATCTGACTCCTTCAAAGTAGCGCTGCTGCACAAACAAACGTTATGAATGCACGCTACACTTCTGACGGTACATTAAGTTTTCTTTTTCTTATAATGTACAGAGTTTTGAGGTAAGGAACATTTTCATTTGCCATTCACTGACAGTTGGACTCGCTCATTCACTTCATCACACTTCATCTTTTGAAATTGAAAGCAGAATAAAACAGCCTTATAAAGCCGGCTCATCGGTGCGCTGCTACATTGAAAACATGTGATTCGATTCTTGTCTTCTGATTGGTTCTCGGGATATAGCGGCTTCTGCTGTCAAAGGCAGTGGGCGTTTAGCGTCTTTTGACAACAAACTGTTATTTCTGAATGCGCTGACGCTGCAATTTTAGATGATTTTAAACAAAACTATTTGTTAAACATGTACTACGCGCCTAAAGCTTTCACTTAAAGGGCTCCTATGGTGAAATATCTACTTTTCATGGTGTTTGGATAGACTTATGTGTAGGTATAGTGTATTGACAGTCTGATTGGTGTGATATAAACACACCCAGTCCTTTTTTTTTTTTCAATTTAACAACATATAAATGGTGGACCAATTGCAAAGCAAAGCAACTGGGAATAAAAGATCTCTTCAGTTTGCTAGTATCATCAATCATCATCAAATGTTACCAAGAGAGGGTTTTACAAGTTTAAAATGTTTTAAAACAATGTAAAACAAGTAATGAATTAAAGCGATTTACTTCAGCTTTACTCTATCACCACAGCTGCGTGTCAGAACAGTTATAAAAGAAGACTCTTCAATCCCAGTTTGTGGACATTAAATCAGGTTTATTTTGTAACATTAACATAATAGATATCCACAGAGCAGTGGATATTAACCTGTATCCTGTCACATTTGCGTGCAAAAAGAGTGTAAAGCTGAACACTCGCTGTCTGTGTGTGTGTGTGTGTGTGTGTGTGTGCGCGCGTGTGTGCGTGCGTGTGTGTGTGAGTGTGTGTGTGTGTGTGTGTGTGAACTTTGTAATGACATTGTGTGTGACTCGTTGCACAGCAAATGCATTAAATACTCATTGGTAAAGTTCTTACTGTAGTATTTCTCACAAACGCTATGTGAGATCTTCTTCCTTTATGTCTGTCTGTTGTCTGAAGCAGGCGAGGGAGGAGATTAGGCATGCTGAAAGGCACGTAGAAACGGTGGGACTAGCCTTAAAGGCGCAGTACAACAAAACCACCACCTAATGCTAAAAGGTATAAAATAGAAACTTATAAAAGGTATAATGCACTGCTCTCTGCCTGGCGCTCAGACGACCGCATGACAGCGTGTAGCTGTGTGTGTGTGTGTGTGTGTGTGGTAACGTGATGTGCGTTTTCAGCAGACGGAGGGCTGTTCAGAAATGTTTGGTTGTTGATGTGGATTGTTTTCTTACTAAAATGCCATTTTCACACTAAAACGTATTAGTTTAAACAGGTGAGGGTGTATTTTTCACGAGCCGGTTTGCGACGGGGGTGGGACGATGGTTTGCGATGCCGGCTCAGCATTGTGTTGTCTATTAGCTGTCTGCGATGGACTATGGCATCGTCTATCGGCCCAACTATAGACACTGGCCCTCCAGGACAAAGTTTGGACAACCTTCTCTAGTGTATTAATCTTGCTAACTTGGTGCTGAAAGTTTTTCTCCTTTCTTGTTCTGATCTCCATGGATATGTAGCACATCAAAGAATCCGATTTTTAGGTGTTTCAGAGCACACCCACCAATTGTGTTGTCATCACTGACCAATGGTAGTTTAAAGATGTTAAGGACCCAAAACTAGCTTCCTCTAAAAGTTTGAACTGCCGAACAAACTCAAAGAACTTTTTGAGTTTGATTTAAAACACTAAAATAACTATCCGTCATAGCTAGTTAAGTCCATTAATAAACTATTTGTTAATAAATTATAAATGACTTGTTACTGTATTTTAATGATTTGTAACTGTACCTAATAAATTAGT